AGGCAATAAATTAGTAAAAGTTATAATGCTTTGGTTCTCAAAGTGGGTCCCAGACCAGCAACATCAGTATCACTAGGAACTTGTTAAAATGCTCGTTCTCGGGCCCCACCCCAGATCTCCTGAGTCCAAGGCCAATTGTAAAGTTTCAACAAGTTCTCCAGGTGATTCTGGTTCGTTCTCTCCTTTAGGAACCACTGATATGGTAGGTCAGTGATAAGCAGTGTTTTAGAGAAAACTTAAGCCAGAAATGGGGTGGTAGGCTACGGTAGGGAGAGGGGTGGGTTACAATTTTAAATAGGGTGCTTAAAAAAGCCTTACTCCAAAGGTGACATCTGCTCACAGACATAAAGGTGAGGGAGAAGGCCTCCAGGATATCCAGGGGGAGAGTGTTTTAGGCAGAAGGAATGGCAGGTGCAAAGGCACTGAGGCAGGAGCAGGCCTGGGGGCCTGTGCAAGGAACAGCAGGGAGGCCAGTGCAGCTGGCCTCAGGTGAACAAAGGGGAGAAAGTGGGAGGAGAAGTGGGAGAGTCATGGCGCTCCAGCCTGCAGAGGGACTTGGAAGCCACTGCAAAGAGTTTGACATTTATATACTGAACTGTGGTTCTTTTAAAACATTCTGCCTTTTCCTATATAGCCTAGAGGCCCCTGCCACCCTCCAAACCCACCAAGCCAGCCCCTTCCCTTCCTTCGGCTTTCCCATCCCATGCTGTCAGAATGAGCCTCTCCCATCACTAACTTCCACGGGCACTTCGGTTTATCCCAAGTTACAGTTTCCCTTGGCCTGTCTTTTGCCCTATTGAAGTGTGTCCACCTGAAGTGGAAACTTCATCTTTTTTTCTCCTTCATTCCCACTACCTATCAAAGTGTCTTTGCTTTGCGGTGCTACAGAAACATTTACTGCATTTCTCTTTAGCCATCAGGATGGAAACCAACCTAATATTGGCACTCAGTAAGTATTACAAATGCTGCTGATAATTGTGCAGTTCCTTCTATCAGAGATCATAAGAAAAGGAGCTCGTAGATTTATTCTCAAGCCACCAAAGCACTTTGGATGTAGCTGCGGCATTCACCCAGAATTGGACTAAAACTGGCGCAGTCACTCTTTCCAACTGCTTCCCTTTGTGTCTGATGGCCTGCCTACCTAGTTCTGTGTTGGCTCTGTCTCTGAGTGTTGCCAGAGATTTACATCAGTTTACTGCTAGCCTTGGACCAAAATGGACCAGGATGGGGGCAGCACCAAAGGAAAATGGGTGTTAGAATGAGCCAGAGCTCCAGCACCCACAGAGAGCGCCTCCTTCCTTTCTCCTTTTCTCTTTCTTTCTTTCCGTCCTTCCTTCCTATTCTTCCTTTCTTTGTTCTTTCTTTCGTTTTCTTTCTTTCTCTCTCTTTCCTTTCTTTCTTCTTCTCTTTCTTTCTCCTTTCCTTCCTTCTTTTTCTTTCTTTTTCTTTCTTTTCCTCTCTCTTTCTTTCTTTAAAAATCATGAATCCTTTTAGTATCTGTTGAAGCCTACGGGCTGTTTCCAGCTATGAAGTTTTCTAATGCATGAAATAAAATATATAAGATTAGAGAGGAAACATTTTTACTGAACTATAATTGAAATTGTGTTAAAAGCTATCAGGATATTTAAAAATTAATTCATTGCAGTAATATTTTCACCTCTTTACTAGTACATTAAATAATAAGGTCTAGAGGCAAGTTCAGTCAGTGCCAACATTTTGACATAATGATGAGCATGGGAGGTATTTGAGATATTCGCAACTGTAACATGATAAGAAATGATCTGAAATTCCTGTTACTGACATAGTACATGTACTGCTATCACTCCAGCGGGTTGTGACTTACATTCATGACTAAAGGAGATGCCAAAGTCTAATATGACTCTGACTCTAATTGTTAGAGGTTAGTGGGGGGAAAGTTTTTTTGCCATCCTATTTTATTCTGTATACTGTGCAAAGACCCCTACATTGACCCAGAATACAAGCTGGGATAAATTACTTTAGTTCTCTAAATGTCAGTATCCCTATCTATAAAGTAATACTTAAAAGATGACAATTTGTTATTGTTATTGTTATTATTATTATTACTATTATTTTAGCCACAGTGATAGGAGTTAAAGACTTCTCATAAATAGTCTGGAATATACTCTGGGTCACTTCCTGGGCACAACCAGAGTCAGCTCTATAAGCTGATCCATTTGGCAGTCATCTTTTTAAGCTGAGAATTTCTATTCTCAAAATCTCTTATTGGCCTGAAGTGTCACCCTTAGAGAAGCACGCATGCCTTGGGGCTGAGAGACTTTCAACTTCAAGAGACTCCTAACCAAAAGTAAGTACTGATGAACTATGACCCTGAACACCAGCCATGCCCGCCTACAATCTCAAGTTAGGAAGTGGGACGTGGTCTAGCCCAGCAGCAGATGTGGGTGGCTGAAAAAAAAAAAGGTGATACATTCTCGGGGCAATCTATCCCCAATTCACTCTACTTCTAGAGGACTCTTTACAAAGACCAAATTTTTGCCAAGTAAGATCATGTTTAGTCTTCAGCCATGGTCTTAAGGAGGATTTTCCCGAAACTCAGCGCTGTGTTTAATTATACCTTGCATGTACCTGTATAAGCCTGTATTCTAATTCATTTCCCAGTTAATTCCATCATAAAATAGTATTTTAACTCTTAGTGACATTATCTTAATTTTCAAGCACTTGGGAGAAAGGAGCCAGCCCCTCGGGAATTGCTCTCTTGATGGGCCCTGCCATTTCTTCAAGCTCTGCCGTGCTTCCCAAGTGTGGGTGTGTATCAGAATTATCTGAAGAATCCATTAACACACAGGCTGCTGAGCCCCACCTCCAGAGAGCCTGATCAATAGGCCAAGGGTGGAGCCTGAGAATTGGCACTTCTCAATTGCCCCCCCCCACCGGTTTCTTTGTTTCTATGAGCCCAGTATTAGTTTATTACTTAACCAGAGCCATAATATCATCTTTACAGGACTACTGAAAGGATTAGAAAAAGACAAGATAGGTAAATATTCTCAAGATACTAAACCCCTAACAGAAATTTAGTAACTATTCATTCCCATGCTGGGGCATTGCTGTGGAGAGAAGGACTTACAGAAATGATGCCAGAGCAGTGTTTTTTTGTCCCCACCACCCAATCATAAAGGACACTTAAATGTGCTTACACATATTTAAGAAATCAATAATCTAAGTTATAAATAATAAGTAGTTCATTTGTGTCTTTTTTTTTAAGATTTCACATATAAGTGATATCATATGGTATTTTTCTTTCTCTTTCTGGCTTACTTCACTTAGAATGACAAGCAGTCTCTTTTTTTTTTTTCCTATTTTCCTTTTTCTTTTTTTTTAATTGACATGTAGTTGATTCACAATGTTAGTTTCAGGTATACAGCAAAGTGATTCAGTTATACATCTACATACATACATATATACACATATATTTTCAGATTCTTTTCCATTATGACTTATTATAAGAAATTGAATATAGTTCCCTGTGCTATACAGTAGGTCCTTGTTGTTTATCTACTTTATATGTAATAATGTGTGTCTGTTAATCCCCAACCCCTATAGTTTACTATTTTCTTTTTTTTAATTTTAATTTTAATTAATTAATTTATTTCCCCAACAGAGGCACTGGGGATTGAACCCAGGACCTTGTGCATGCCAAGCACATGCTTTACCACTGAGCTATACCTCACCTCACTAGAGCAGTCTTGAAGAAACAAGAGAAATTAGCCAGGGAAGAAGGGAGTGAGGGATGTTTCTGGCATAAAAAATAGTGTGCAAAGGCGGGGGAGCATGAAAAAACCCATAGCTAACTCAGAAAGCTGCCAGAAGTAACATTTGGCTAAAGCAAGTTCATATACAGGGACCAAGGGCATCCTCTGCTATTCTTAAGAGTTTCAACTCTCTTCTGAAGGAGATACAAAACCATTGAGGTTGTTTATAGCAGGCAGTGACGTGAAGTAGGGACTGCAAAGGGGAGGAGTGGGAACAGGTCGGGGCTGATGGCTAAGTTTCTCTCTTGAGTTTATAAGTAGGTGATGGTGATGCAACCTACTGGAAGTACTACAGAAGAAAGAGCCGGCTGGGAGAAGACCACGAGCTACATTTTGGATGTTAAATTTAAGGTAACTATAAGACACCCACATGGGCACACTAAGGGATAGTGAGATACGTGAATCTAGATATTTCAAAGAAATCTTGAAATATAGATTTAGAAGACCTCTGCTCTTAGGTGGAAATTAGAGCCACAGGAATGGATGAGATAGCTCAAGGAGTGTGTAGCATGAGAGAAGCCCTGAGGACTGAATTCAGGAGAACAGCCCTGTTTACGAGCAATCTCTAATGGAGCTTAAGTCAACGTTAACGCCAGTCAGCAGAACCTCTGTTTCCTAGTCTTATATTATCTGTATACAAGCAAACTCTGGTTTAAATGGACACTGAGGTCAGCCTTGATCACTGGTACCCACAACATCCAATACAACATTTAGCAGTAGAAGCAATGCAAGGAAACATCACCACCACAGTCCCTAGGGACCATGCATGGAGTCAGAAGGGAAGACACGGGCTGATAATAACAGCAGGTGAGCGTGATCGTCACCAGCACTGCCCGCTCCTCGTTATCCAGGTGCCACATCCCTAGAGTAGCGAGTCCGGGAACAGCTGTCGCAACTGGTCATCCTCTAGAGATGGGTCTCTTCCCCAGTGAGTGAGATCCCTGGATTTGTCAAAAATCAGACATCACCTGCTGGGAGACAGACATTGTGAACTGAGTCGTCACAAAAATAAATATTTCCTTTCCTCTTCCTTAAGATAAACAAGACCCACATGAACCCTATTTCATGCAGCCAGAGCTCTCCTGCCAGGGTTGGTCAAACCACCACAAACCAGCAGGATCCCGCATCAGCCCAGCCCTGGGTACTTGCCTTTCCTGCCACAGGCTTCTGAACAGTCTGACCCACAGGGAACAAACGCAGAAGCCCGCCCCGCCAGCCCAGGGAGGAGGAAGGTTAGGGAAGTGGGCTGGAAGGGAGCCTGGGCTCTCTCTGCGTAAGAACAAACAGCGGAGGACCAGCTGGGAAGGTTCTCGGGCAGAAGGAAAGGCTCTCTTATGTAGGAGGTCTACAGTCAGACCACAGTTCAAAGGTATCCGTGTGTATCCTCAGCTCCCCTTAAAAAAAATTCACTGCTTACAAAAATCCAAACCTATCAGATAAATCAGGGCAATTTCAAGTATCTTTTCCTCTTTCCTCTGCTTAAGAGTGACTTTCAGTAGGAGTTCATGCTCTCTCATCTTAGGGAATACTTTATGCAAAAAAATGAGGCACACCTGCATGCGGGCCCAGCTCTCCTCCAATAATTAAGGAGCCTCGTCATCCTCAAAGATGTTTTCTTGGAGGAAGGGGACCTGTGGCCTCACTCCCGAAAGAATGGAAGGAACTCCATCCTGATTTCACAGTGTTGGGCCAGAGGTGTGGAAGTTCGGGAAGGGGACCGAGGCTTTGATAGGATTGTCACAGGCTAGGAAAGCACAGGAAATGTTTAGTCGGGAGGAACGAAAACACAGTGTACGGATGGAAATCTGATCTCTGTAGGCCTATCTTTATTACAGCTGGGCTGGGGAGAAGCAAATCTAAAACCAGCAGACTGTTAAAAGAGAGCTGTAATGGGGCAAAAAGCCTCCCTTGAGACGGAACCCTCCTGTCCTGCATTCAGTAAACACCTGCGCCGGCCAGGAGCCGAGGCATTCGGGCTCTTAAGTACCTTGGGCTGGAACATACCCTTCTCACAGGCTGCACCTGTGAACTTTCTGGAGGGCTTTGTTCCAGTTTGTGATGACTCCCAGGAATGTTAAGGCTTTAGCTCTGGGTCTAAAGAGACCATGTCCCAAGGCAGCGTCCCATAACAAAAGAGAAGATAGAGGAAGGTCACAAAGGACCTGGCTCCAGAGAGGAGAGCAGGGGTGGGCGCGTGGGGGCTTAAGGGGAGTCCAGGCCCCACGTTCATTTCTGAACTTCCCTCTGAAGCTCCCCGCGTGGGCACGACCACCTGTTTGCCATCAAAGGCTGAAATTCAAGCAAGAAAGGCTGCTTTGCCGTGTTACTTTGTCAAGTAAATCTGTCTGCCCAGAGGAGAGGTGCTCTGACAAGTCCCTGTATTACCTGCGATGGAGGCGGACAGGAGCTGCTCTCCCCAGAACCAGATGCCGATTCGATCCTGATTAGCTGAATTAGGTAAGACATTCACTTTGGTGGGATTGGAATGGTTTGTTTTGTTTATTTGCATGCACAGGATATTTCCCCAAAGAACTCCTACCCTGGCCGCCATATCCAAGCCCAGTGGCTCAGACCGCATCAGGGGCCGGCAATTCTGGTTCCCTTGCTTGCTCCCCTCCTCTGGCCCCTTCTGAGACCTCCTCCTTGCCATCTCCCAGGACCCCCACACTCCTCCGCACTCAGTTGGGAGACACTGAATTGACCAATATCACTACGCGTCGTCTTGGATTCCCTGGAATGATCAGGCTCAGTGCGCAGAGGGGCTCAGTTTGCAGCAGAGCCTCGCACATTTTAGCTGAATTGTCAGAGCAGGCTTCCGGCTCCACGGTGCCTTGGAAGGCCTCTGAGAACCTTCCCTTCAGTAAGCTGGCAGCTCCCACACCAGGGGCTATGGGTGGTATCACGTCGCTACACTGTTCAAGCCCCAAACCAGTAAGAGCCTCCTTGGACTTCCTCGAATATTCATTGTCAGCACGTATGAATAACGCCTAAATTACATAATTACACCGCTGAGCTAAATTAATCTTCTCTAGAATGAGTGTGTCCTTAATACTTACATCAAAAACTAATGAATGCGTTCTTTTTTAATTGAAGTCTAGTCAGTTTACAATGTTGCGTCGGTCTCTGGTGTACAGTGTAATATTCCAGCCATACGTATATTCCTTTTCATTAGTTACTACATGAATGCATTCTGATTTGGGAAAAAGAGAAAAGGGTTGCCTTACTTCCAAGCATCTTGTGTCCACAACCCATTTTAGTTTCTGTAATTACTACTCCTGAATAATTTAAAGGCAAGGTCACACATGTCACTGAAGAAACCTACAATTAATGTCTAAGCATCGGCATTAGATTCTCTAAATTGACTCAGATTGTTCTTAAAAGGGTGGTGGGGAAGAGAGAGCGTGACCTAATTTTTTTTTTTTAAGAAGAAACCAGCCTGCTGTGTTTTCATAATTTTTGTTGATGAAGAGATAAGCACAAATTTCAGATAAACTCACTGATTAAATGACACAGCCATTTTATAGCTGGGTATCTCAAGGTTTTGAAAAAGTTGCAGTGACAGGATCTACCTGGTAGATAACAGAAGGAATGTCAGATGTTATCAGATCCTACAACTGCGTTCTTCCTACCAGTAAGGAAACTGAAGTCCAGGTGGATAAGAAAACATTTTTCGTATCATCAGGCTAGCTAGCAGGCAGACAGAAACGAGAACCTCCGTGTTCGTGGCTCTAAATGCAGTGCTCTCATGTAATAACAGCCAGGCAGGCGGTAGACATCTCTCAGGTCTGCTGTTTTGCTTCCGGCGCAATTCAGATAGCATTCATCAGACTCATTATCTGCAGCTAACAGGGAAAACCCGCGCGGGTTTATATCCTGTACACATTTGTTATAAAAGGAATGATCCTTAGACTTTCAGATATCTCCCTCATCTCCTGGGCCTCTGTGGACCAGCTGGATCAGGGTACTTCTGAAAAGTCGAAGAGAATGGAAGGCAGGACAGAACACAGGGGATGGACTGTAACGGGAAGGAGGCAGTGCGTTATAGCCCGGGGGTTCTTAACCCCAGATGCACGAGCATCACTCAGAGAGACATTTCAAAGTACCAGCACTGGCCTACACCTCCAGAGATTCTGATCTGTTTGATCTGGCCTGGGATCCAGGCACCGGCATTTCCCCAAGGCTCCTTTGGTGGGGGGTGTGTGTGTGTGTGTGTAGACGGGTCTGAGACCCACTGGGGAGCAAAGTCTTGCTGTCAGACAGAGCTGGGCTAAAAACCCCTGATCCTGACACACATACCTATTTTCTCTTGAGTTTCCCTCATATATTTAAAAAGAAAGAAAGAAAGAAAAATCCTATCCCACTGAGTAGCTATAAGCATTAGATGAGTATATAAAACTTACTAGTTTCTCAGTAAATTTGACTCTCCTTTCTCCATTTAAATGGCAATAACGAAGAAGTAGCCCCAAGGCAACCAGCAAAGGAGAACAGGAACGAGGGTAACTCAGTATATGTGAAGTCTTCTCTGCCTTCCGCTTGCTCCTTTTTTTTTTTTTTTCCTGAAATAAATATCAATGTAAATCAATGGCTGGGCACACTTAATCCCCCAGGATGCAGTCTGTCCACTCAATGATTTGCATTACTTGGCTCAGGTTGGGCAGCGTCCCTGGACCTTCCAGTTTGTATAGGTTTTCTGCTGCTCAGTGTTAAGCCATCAGGGGAATCTTTTTAGGAGATACAGTGAAAGCAGAAGGAGATTGGCTCGGGGCTCTTCTCTCCGTCAGACGCACTTTGTGCCTCTTCGAAGTAATTGCAGGAGGCAATTCTCTGCCAACTCAGCCCTTGTAAGACACCTCAGTGAGTGTGCAGGTAATTCAGCATGGCTCTTCCCAGGGGCATCAGGCACCACTTCCATTCTCTGAACACACAGCATATGGAAAATTCTGGTGCCACAGGAGGCAAGACATGGAGCTGGAATACGTAAATAACAACGATCAATGCCTTTGAATCTTGGAGCCACCCTAGTGACAAAAGCAAATATTGTTCTCCAGGCTTGGTTTTTCTTTATTCCATGTGTACTTCAACATCTGCAGGAGGTAAAAAGAAAAACAAAAAAGAAAGCAAAACAAAAAACCCAGGGCTCTTGCATCCTGGACACTTGATTTCCGCTGGCCACCCTGCCCTAGACCACTGTTTGGCATCAGCCCATGTCCAGTGATGGCATAGTGGGGGCCCCCTCCAGGCAAGGAAGCCACCTCTTGTGTCTTCTTCTTGGACCTGCCCTTGAGTGGAGCTCCTCCCCAAGCCCTGGTATCCCTCTGGTTTGGGGTTCTTTTCCATTACCCACACCTTTTGGTACCCACCTTTTCCCCACCTGGTGACTGGGTTTCGCAGTGTTCCAGCTGCAGAAATCTACCTCAAGCAGGAAGCTTTGTCCCCCAGACATGGTGGTCCAGCTCAGGGAGGTGGGGGGAGGCTGGGAGAAGCATGGTGTGTGGAGGCGGTAGTGGGTTTTGCTGCAGCCCCTTGCTAAGGAACTGCCAGTCCACCATCCAGCTGCCTCCTCCTGCCGTCTCCCCTGTTGGGTGACCCTCTGCCATTATTGTCTAGAACATTTCAATGGGCAAGATGGCACCAGGTACTTTCCCCAGGGGTTCCTGGCCCATCTCCTTCCTCGCACCCAGCATTCCGGGGCCCTTTCTCCTGCAGTCATTGAGCACGTCAGCCATTCAAGCGTGGAGCTATTTTTACTAGAGTGTGAAGGATTCTCAGGACACAAACTAAATTTAGCAGAGGGTAAGGTTCACATTACATGATCAGTGGGGCACAGGGTTAAATCATTAAATAGCCTGTTTTTCGGTCTTCCTGGTTCACTCCTCTACAAATGGGCTTTTCCAGTGCTAACCCTTCCCCTATCAGTTCAGCCTACAGGGACTTCAAGGCCTTTGTTTCCTGCAAGAAAGGGGATTCTTTTCTTTTTAAGCCTCAGGTCCCTCCTCCACCTCAGATGGAGATTTTCTTATGCTCAGCAGAACCTCTAATTGAGCAGATATCTATAAGGAAATGTTTAACGGAAGCTTTTCAGTGTTGAAAAATCGCCTAGAAATCCTTAAGAATGCAAACTACCCACCCAGTGGCTCAAATTGACACTCACTGACAACGATAGTTGACTTTTCAGGCCAAAGTACTAAGAAGGGATTCCGTTTGAGGGTGCTTAAATCAGCATGAGAGTGGAGAGGAGAGCGCTAAGAGCTAGCTCATCGCAGGAGAAGAACAGAAGAGTAGTCCAGGACCAGGTGTGTAACATGACAGGAGGCCCAGCCAGTCCTTCAGCCGCAGGAAGTGCTGTGTCCAGGCAGCCGGCGCTGCCAGCCCTGCACAGGAAGTGCCCCCACTGGAGTCACCTCGCTCAGGGTGACAGCCCTGCCTCGGGTGGCCTGCATCCAGTGACTGGTCCAGGTTGGATACAAAGGCCCGGCCCCTTCACCTCGACTCTGGACAACCCCAGAGTAGCATCCTTGCTTTGGAGCTCTGGGGGGTCAACAGCATTTCGTGGAGATTGCTTCACCACCTGGCTTCCCCTCTGCCTCTTGCACAGGTGGAAATCTCCAGAGCCCTTCCTAATGCAGTTCTGATGCATGTCCATCTCAGCCATCAGTTCCCGGGGCACCCAACCTGCGACAGTGACCGGATAAAACCTAGTAACGAGTCTTCAACTACAGGACATCCTCACGATAAATGCTCTTGGATTGCCCCGTGTGGCTACATCGCTGCAAACATGCTGTCAGCAGACCCGACAGCATCAGTGTCCCAGGTGAAGGGCAAGATCTCAATCCCCATCCCAGACTGACAAAGTCAGAGTCTCTAGTTGAATGCGATCCTCAGGTGATTTATATGTATATTAATGTTTGGCGAGCACTGGCCAACATGGTAATCGGATGAGAAGTGATCCAGCAGGGGTGTTTCCTGCACAGAAGTCTCCTGACCCAACGAGAGTCTTCTGTTTTTAGTTCAGAAGCTATTTTTTCCTATGAAAAGGAGTTAAACCCATTACTATGCCACAGTCCAATCACCAACAAAAGGGCAGAAGACAAAGGTAGTCAGCCCACAAATTGCTCAAGCTGGGAAACCAAGCTGCAATATTAAGCAAACAAGGAAAAAGCAGATATGTAAAGTAAGTATGTAAAGTAAGCACCAGGCTTTCTTAGAGTGCAGAGCAAAGGTGAAACACTTCCTTGCAATTCGACAGATGAACTTGGAACACAAGCAGTGACTTCGAACTTTCCCAAAAGACCACAAGGAAACTAGTATGAGAAAACCACCTGGCAGGCAGGCACACGCACACAGCTGGGCAAGGGGATGAATTCACACGCATTCTCTCGGCCACACCATCTGAAGAGTTCCACCGCGCCTCCAGCGAGAAGGAGCTAGTTTATATTAGAATGCAATAGTTTGTTGTAGGGAACATGCCAAAATGTTAAGATGTAGTGAAATTCTTCCCTGGTTCTTGTTTCACTGGGAGGATTCCATCATTCTCAACTGATCCTTTTGTGCATCTGAAGCACAGACTAAAACACTGCACTAAACTGTCTCTCTGGACTTCTTGAAGGATGGCTGTCTAGACTGAGTTTGACCTCTATATGTCTTCCAATAAAAGCCCTAGAACACAGAGTAGGCGAGAACAGGTTAAGTGTTGTCCTGAAGAATGTTGCTTCACCGTGGTTGATTTATGTCTGGCTGTGGTCTGTTCTCAATGAAGCAGGGAAAAAGGGAGCTGTCAGGTGACCGGAACCCCTGAGGGGAAATGTCAGTGTCTGCAGATGTCAAGGGAAGAGGCAGAGGATCCAGTTCTGGATGAAATGAAGTAAACACATTCCACCTTGCCTTTCCCGCTGAATGCAGCTGTCAGACCTGGACAGGAAGTATGCAACAGCCTGTATAAGGACCCTGAAGGGTAAACGGTGGCAGGGGGCCTGGGGAGGAAGACCAGAATTCGACGTGCCACTGAAACAGTTGTGAGCTTTCTACTTGTCCTCCACGTCCCGAGTTTGGATGCGAGGCAGCCCCCAGTCTGGAAATGAACAGCAGGTGTGGATGGAAAGCACCCCGCCTTGTCCTGGCTCCAGGGGCAGTTGACACTCAGAGACAGTAGGGAAATCCCCTGTTCTTTTTTGTTCTTTTCTCCAGTCTCCCATGCCTCAACACCCAGGCAATCACAGCAATGGCAGTGAGAGTGGCAGCAGCGGAGCCCACAGGGGACCCTGCCTCTCTGTTCAGAGAAGCTGTTTTCCCAAGAGAATGGGAGAAATCCATTTCTTCCCTCCTCTCACTTCTCCCACCACCTGGCCCCTAATATGGGCGCAGTCACGGGAGAGGTGCAGCACAGCAAGGGAGACAGAGCACTAGCTTTCTGTCCGGAGGGTGGACAAGGGGGACCACAGGGTGCGGGAAGGTACTAGGGAGACCGCAAAAAGGGAGGAACTCGGGGGCAAGTGGCCCCATAATGCTGTTCATAAACTCGGGCTCAGTCCTGTGCTGTATGGATGCGGATCTGCTCGTAATCAGCACACCAAAGACAATGAGGACAGATCTAAGGGGTAGACCACCGCCCAGGTCCCAGAATAACCTCCCCCCACCCCAGTGCTACACACGTGGAGAAAAACTAAGTAGCTGCAAAGGCAGTGAAAACAAATCTGTTATTGAAACTACAGCTTATAGGAGGCTGGCAGAATTTTCAGCCTGAATCCATCTGGGTTGATACCCTATTAAAGTATAAATATTATCCTTTATGTAAGATGTAAATAAAAACCAGGGTCTCAAAACATAATATTCAAAATATCCAAGATACAATCCAGTATTACTCAGTGTATTAGAAAACCACTGCTGCTACAACAAATGACTCCAAACTTAGTGGCTTAAAATAATACATTTGGGTTTTTTTTTAAGTTCTATCTGTCAGAAGTCCAAAATCAGTTTCACTGGGCTAAAGTCCTGGTGTGGGGAGGGCTGACTCCCTTTGGAGGTTCTTTGGGAGAATTGTTTCCTTGCCTTTTCCAGCTTCGAGAGACTGCCCTCATTCCTTGGCTCATGGACCCCTTCCTCCAACTTCAAAGCAAGAAACATAGCATCTTCTTGACCCTTCTTCCATTGCCACCTCTCTTTCTGATCAGAACCAGGAAACATTCTCTGCTTTTAAGAGTGCTCATGATTATATGTTCCACCAATATATCTCCCCATCTCAAGACCCACACCTGATAAGCAATCTTAATTGCTCCTGCAACCTTAATTCCTTTTGCCACATAATATAATGTATTCACAGATTCTGGAAATTAAGATGTGGACATCTCCAAGTTTATTCTACCTTCCACCCTCAGCATGTGAAGAACCATCAAATATCAATTCACCTGAAAATAGACAATCAGCAGATTCCTGCACTAAGGTGATGCAGATGTTGGAATTTTCTGACAAGGACTTTAAAGCAGGAATTATAAAATATTCCAAGAAGTAAAGGACAACATTCTTGAAATGAATAGAAAGAGAAACCCTTGGCAGCAAAGCAAAATATATAGAAGATCCAAATGTAAGTTTTAGAATTAAAACATGTAATAATTGAATTTTTGACATTTAAAGAAAATGATAAAAGGCCTATCTATGTAAGTTTCATTGCAATATCCTCCAGTTCTCATCTTAGAAATTCATTAACTAGTCTTTCATTCTTTTTAGGGAATTTAGCATTTTATTCATTTCCCTTAAGGGAACCCAATCATCATATTCAGCATCGCCTAGTATATAAGTTTTCTACTGCTGCATAACAAATTACCTCATATTTTACCATCTCAAAATAACCAAAATGTATTATATAGTTTCTGAGGATCAGGAACCCAAGAGTGTCTTGGCTGGATGCTTCCGGTCAGGGTTTCTCATGAGGTTGTAATTAAGATATTGGCCAGGGCTGTAATCATCTGAAGGCTTGACTGGGACTGGAGGATCCACTTCTACGTCCCTCAAGTAGCTGTTAGCAAGAGAATTTAGTTTCTCACTGGCTATGGTCAGAGGCTCAATTCTTTATTACACAGGCCTTTTTGTGGGCATATGGCAACTGGCTTCCCCTAGCGTGACTGGCTAAGATGGAAACTGTAATGACTTTTATACCCTCATCTTAGAAGCAACATACTCTCCCTTCTGCTCTAGTCTGTTGGCCATGTAGACTGACCTTGGTACAATGTGGTGGGAGACTAGACTAGAATATGGATATCAGAAATCAGAGATCATTGAGGGCTGTCTTGAAGACTTACTACCACAATTAAAATTTCCCCCCTCAATCTCCCCTCCCTGTCTAAGTTCATAGACCTTCTAAGAACTTGTAAAGTGTAACTCCATCCCTAGAGCACTACTGGTGAATTTAGGGGTCCTGGAGCACCCAATCCTTCATCCAGAGGAAACCATGTGCTCTAATAGGAAACTCCAGTTCACAGAGCCCCAACCTGCTCCTGTGAACAGGGGAATTTTGATGCCTCTAAAATGTGATGATTAAGAAGAGCTTAGAAGACTGCACATGTCAATAATTGATCAAAGCCAAAAACATTGGGGATAATCAGGTGCCTCAAAAAGAATCCCTTCAGCAAAGGATCATGTCATTTGTTCCCACCCCGCAGCCCAGCCTTGAATCTTCACAAGTCGAGACAATCATCTCTTCTCCCAAGAGGAAATTCCCGTAAGTGGTGGAGACGAGGAAGTGGAAATGCTTGCCAGCTTGTGGATCAGCATGAAGGCTACAGGACTCACCTGTTACTGAGAAAATGTTAGAAGGCAATTGATAACATCTGGGGGTTAAAAGACATCTATTTCTACGCAAAAACAAAATGAATCACTCCAAGGTACAGCGTATCTAAGAATTTGGAAGAGAATTTTCTGATATGTAGATGTGCCTGATTGCAAAAGATGTGTATTGTATTCTTAGGCATATATTTGAATGTATACTGTATAATGTAGGTTTACCCAAATGTGCAACTCTTTGGTAATATGTAAATATGATGGAGAAATAAGAGTTGATTCATCACAGGTAGAGCAACCCTTATGCAAATAGTGCTGATTAAATCAGTGCTGTGAACTTAATAGAAGTAAAGTGCCTCGGGGCTTTGAATTTGGCCCTGTCTCATTCAACTTTTTCATAAACTATGTGGACAAAGGCAAATAAAAATGTGCTTATTATATTTTCAAGTATTATAAAGTTAGACAGGAGAGCCAAGAAACTGAATAATAAAATCAGAATTCCCAAAGGTCTCCAACAGATTGAAATGACAGGCCAAAACCCATGGCATAAAAATGAGTGGGAAGGAAGTGGCATAAAATCTGCACAAGTGCAAAAAAAATTGAGACCCAGCACAATACCAGTTAATGCAGGAAAGCTTTAAGCAAACTACAAGCTTAATATGAGTCAGCAGTTTGCCAATTCTGCCAAAAAGGCAATGCAGAAAATTAATCTGCATTGTAAAGAATAGGAGTGCTCAGAACTGGGGAGATCTTGATCTGATGAACTGTACGCTGTGAATATGTAGATTCCTAGAATGATTGACAGATTCCTATATCATGTGTCCCTTCTAACTCCAAGATTATACAGTTCTCTTTTTATAATATGCCCCTGAGTGACCAATCTAGTAATTCTATCAAAAAAAAGGAAGTGAGTTTATTTTACTCTTTTCTTTAGTGATTCAAACAATATTTATTGAGAAAAAAATATTTGCCAGGTACTCTGCTAAAAGCCATGAACACAAACATGCTTGGGACACACATATTTTTCAGTTATTTATCCAAACACTAATACAGGTGCTGATGTGATGGGATTTGGTCAATGTAGTCAAAGTTCCAGATCAGCTGACTTTAATACAGATTATCTGGGTGGACCTGACCTAATCACATGAGCAATTTAAAAGCAGAGAGTTTTCTGTGGCTGATAGCAGAAGAGTAAGTCAGAGGCTCAAAGCATGAGAAGAAGGGTTGATGCACTTTGCTGGCTTAAAGATAGAGGGGGGCCACATGGTAAGGAGTGTGTGTGGCATCTGGGAGCTAAGCTTGGTACCCAGCTGAAAAGCCAGCAAAGAAACAGAGTCTTACATCCTCTAGGAGATGAATTCAACCACAAGACTCAGCCTGGAAGAGGACCCCAGAGGAGACCCACAGCCCCAATCAACACTTTGATTTCAGCCCAGTGAGAACCTGAGAAGAGCATCCAGCCCCATGACACCCAGACTTCTGATCTGCAGAAACTGAGGTAACAAATCTGTGTTGTTGTAAAACACTAAGCTTGTGCCAATTTGTTATTCAACAATAGAAACAACTAACACGAGATAAATAAACAGCAGCCACACAATGAGATCAGATGGGGCAAATCTGCCATGTATGTGGTTGGTTGTTGACTCTGGACCGATTTTCCGCCTTCTCTTTCCGAAGTACATCTCAGTTTTGTTCACTGCTCGTCCATACATACACTCACCACCACTACCTGTGCAAGTGTGGGCTGATTCATCTAAGTCAGGCTTTCTTGATTTTGGTACAACTGACATCTTGGCCTGGATAATTTTATTGTGGGGGAATGGTCTGTGCATTGTAAGGTGTGTAGAAGCATCCTTGGCTTCTACCTACTATTTGCCAGTGACACACACTCCTCTGACTCCCAGCAGTGACCATCAAATATGTCTCCAGATATTGTTAAATGTCCTGGGCATGGGCAGGTGGGGAGCAAAGTCACACCCAGCTGAGAACCTTGTAAGCTCACCCACCCTGCTAACAATTGGTTCAAGAATAGGTATGTGATCACTTTGGGAAAATGAACTGAAAAAAGAGGTTTTGGGGGAAATTCTAAGAAAATTTCATCCATCAAGAAATGTCACTAGATGTAACCCTGTTTCTCTGCCTGTAGACATTATTGTGTACAGATTGAGTCCCAGGGATGCTGCAGCCAACCCTGAAATCTACCTTACCTTTAGACTTCTGATTATGGGTGCCAGCTTCCTTATTGTTCAAGATAGTTTGAGATTGCTGGAAAGAGTTCAACGGATATTTGGTTTTTGCAGTCGAGAGTTGCCTGGCTGGTGCCAATGTACAAGGTGCTTTCGAAGCTGAGGGCGGGTGCACTTCAGGAAGCTGAGTCAAGAAATAAAAAGGTGAATCTGGGAGAAGACAGTCACAGAGGGCTTTCACACTCTGTTTTTTTTTTTTTTAGAGACCTATTCCCTTAACAACTGTCAAATATGCAATGCAGGATCATTAACTATAGTCACCATACTATGTGTTACAGGACTTCTTTATCTTGTAACTGGAAGTTTGTGCTTTTTGATCCCTTCAGCCATTTCACCCACCATCTACCCCCCACCTCTGGCAATTACCAGTCTGTTCTCCGTAACTCCAAGCTTGGGTTTATTTATTTATTTATTTATGATTTCCAATACAAGTGAGATCATACAGTATTTATCTTTCTCTGTCTGACTCATTTCACTTAGCCTAATGCCCTCAAGTTTCATCCATGTTGTCACAAATGGCAAGATTTCATTCCTTTATTACAGCTGAATAATATTCCATTGTGTGTGTAAATATACATGTGTATATATCTATATGTTTTCATGTTTTCTTTATCCATTCATCCATCCATGAACACTTAGATTGTTTCCATATCTTGACTGTGGTAAATGACACTTCAATGAACATGGGGTGCATATATTTTTCCAAGTTAATATTTTCATTTTCTTCAGATAAATACCCAGAAATGGAAGTACTGGATCATATGGTCATTCTACTTTTAATTTTTTGAGGAACCTCCATACCATTTTCCACAGTGGCTGCACCAATTTACATTCCCACCAGTGATGCACAAGTCTTCCCTTTTCTCCATATCCTCACCAACACTTGTTATATCTTACCTTTTTTATAACAGCCATTCTAAAAGGTGTGAAGTGATATCACATTGTGGTTTTGATGTGCATTTCCCTGGTGATTATTAATGTCGAGCATCTTTTCATGGACCTGTTGGCCATCTGTATGCCTTCTTTGAAAAGATGTCTGTTCAGATCTACCCATATTTTAACCAGATTGTTTGTGTTTTGGCTTTTGAGTTGAATGAGTTCTTTATATATTTTCAATATTAACTCCTCATTAGATATGTGATTTGAAACTTTTTTGTCTCGTCCAGTTGGTTGCTTTTTCATTTTGTTGATGGTTTCTTTTGCTGTGCAGAAGCTTTTTAGTTTGGTGTACTCCCACTTGTTTATTTCTGCTTTTGTTGCCTCTGCTTTTGGTGTCAAATCACATCATTATTTGATCCTAACTACACCAGAAGAATGTACTATTACCATCATCTTATGTCTCAGGAAAGTTAATGCTTGTCCATCCTTACAAGGCAATGATGAGTCAAGATTCAAACCCAGGTCTTCTGATACCAGTTATATTTCCCTCTGTGTTTCTTTGAACAATGACTCCTTCCTGTCATCCTCCTGCTCAAAAATATTCAACATATTCCATTGTGTCTAAGAAAAAAATCTCAAATTTTTGAGCTCAGAATTTAAAGTTTTCCATAAACCTACCTCTACTCATCACCCCAAAATAAGTAAACTCATCACTCCAGCTCATCACTCCAGTTGGGTCTTTTCTTGGGTATCCCCCATCTATAGAAGTATAGAGGACTGCTGTTTCTTCTCCACTTGTTTTAGTCCATTCTTTTATAAAGTCCAAGTTTATTCCTGAAATTATGCAAAATAGCCCAAGTTTTTCGTGAGGTTTCTTCCTCTTTCCTCTCAGAGCATCTCCTCAGCACATGTCACCTAGATGATCCTGTTTCACCAGATAGGGCTCTAATTATAGTCATCATAATTCCAAGACTTTGGTCCCCACCTGCTTATATGGACCCCATCAGCATACAGCTTCTTCTCAGGACCCCTCCCTCAGGTCTTCCTTTTGGAGAGCTTCGCCCCTGTTCCTGAAACCCCTCACACTCTGAGAACTCCAACATCTGGACCAAGAGTGCTGCCTTCTCATGCCCAGATTGTCTCTAGGAAAAAGCTCAAACTTTTGAACTAAGAATTCAGTTTTCCATAAACCTACTATGAGTCTTAACACTCACAGTCCTCACATGGCTAGCTGTGGCAGTCCACACTGAAGAAGGAAGGATGTGTCTCCTGATCTAGGTCACCCTTGGTTACTTGGAGGCCAGAGCAGCTTGCCTGGTGCCTCTGTTCACCCATCCCATCCCTGAAAGACAGAGCCCAGCAGAAACAGCTTGTTCAGCCTCCTTCTGCAGCTCCTTCCTAACATGGCTCAGTTCAAATGGACAGTAGCCCCATGCTGCTCCCTCTCTTCTTTGTCTGTATTTCTAGACATGGTATCAGCCGCCAGGTTTGGACTGCTTACTCTAAGCAGCATTATGCTAAGCACCCGACAAGTTACCTCATTTAATCCTCATCCCCACCAGATGGGATAGGCATCCTTATTCTACCTGTTTCACAAAATGGTCCCTTAGAGCTAAAATAGCTTAAGTAACTCGCCCAAGGTCACACAGATTATCAGAGTCTGGACTCAGTGAAAGTCCTTGCATAATTAACACATATACGGCTCTCAAGGTACCAAAGTCACAACCTCTTCCTCAGTCTTTGCCAACCAAAATCAAAACCCCCTTAAAAACAAGCTCCTGCAAATTTGCACTTGGTCTGCAGATGCACTCAGAACCACGACATACAGTATTACAAGTCATCACTGACACAGACTGAATGCTTACTATGTGCCGGGCGCTATTCTAAACAC